ATAGATACATTTGTACATAGTTGATGTAGCTATTTTGAAAATTTAACAAAAATGTTTATCATCAGTGAAAAAATCAAAAAATAGTTCTTAAAATTCAAAATTTATATTTTAATATACACAATACTTTCGAGTAATGACATTTTTTTACCGATTTTGTTGTATTCATATAATATATAAATGATATGCTGTCATTTATACAGATGTCGAAGTAGACAAATAATTTTATTTGGACGTCTGTAAAAACAAAAATTGTCATGTGCTTTATTTACTTGGATGGCTGGATGTGTAATAAATAATATAGATTCTATATTCTTGCTAAAGCAATAAACTATTTTCAGTAAAATAGAATTGTATGTCAATTTTTAAATCATAAACATATTTTCATTATTAGAATATCGAATTGTAGGTAGCTAACTGGGGAATGTGTCGACCAAAATTGACCCACGTTTTTCTGGAGTAGGTTTTCACTGCCATGAGAAGTCCGCCTGTGGTGCAAAATGACGAGTTCAATTCTCTGGTCGTTGTTAAATTAATATGTCACACATAAATTACTACAATTCTTAACACTACAACTTCACACGAAACGACCGCGTGCCTCATAAAAAAATTATAAAATGATATAGAATTTGCAGGGGCTGCAATCAAATTAAATTTATAAAAATAGCAAATAAATAAAAATATAAAAATTTATAAATCTCCGGTAAGTAAAAGAGTAAACAAATATTTTATACGAAGCAGGTAGATAAAATGTGGCCCAATTACCAACCGCCCGTTTCGTTGACCAGCTGTTTATAACTAATGGAAGATTCGTGGTAGTAGGCGCAAATCACTAAAATCCGGTAGTCGGCAGTAATAGTGTAGGTTTTACAAAATTGTACATAACATCGTCCGCCGTCGAATAAATAAGTATAGGTATTTGTTTGATTACGTAACGATCGTATAGGTAACAGTTTTTGTCAATACTCTGTATACGCCGGGAAAAAAATGTGTAATACACGCACAAAATGTACAAAAAGTTTGAAAACTTGACTATTTGATTAAATTTTCTGTTTGAAAATGCAAAAGGTATCCCACGTATATGAAGGTATAGATATAGCCGTGCCTGCGTAGGCTAATGTGTTTGAACGGTGTATGCATTTTGTTTGCACATCGTTTTAAATGAACACGAATATATTATGTAATATGTATACAGTATAAAACATCAAAGGTAACCAGCCGCGGAACCTTAACAATTTATTATCGGGAATCATGGGATGCGATTTAAATTTAAGAATATGTTTTCCAGTCAACAACACGTCAGTGATCATATTATACCGTTTATTAAAATTTAAATATAGGTTAAATTTAAATTTAAAAAATAAACGATTATGTACGTTATTCATTATCTAATTAACACTATTATTGGTACTTCAGTTTACTAGATATCGATAACAACACGTTGAAATGATTGTTCCGTGAAACCTAGCCGTGCCGACGCTATTGAAATTGATTTATGACTTTAAATTTTAAATACGCCGTACTCGGGGGTCATTTTTAGTACTTTTTGTTCTATAGAAAGAAACGATAACGCGTGAATTATCTGTGGTCTGTATAATGTTATTTAAAATGTTCGTCATATTTACGATTTCATCACGATGATAATAATAATCGTATTTATCATTATTTTAATTATTAGTTAATATATTTATTCTTTTTTTTAGATTCTTTGTTTTTACATGTTTCTACGAATTTGTTGTATTTACTAATTTGTTTAGAACATAATTATTATTATGGTTGTAATAACAGCAATCAAAACAACTAACATTATTTAATAATGAAATAATACAGTCGATTATAAATTATTTTTAGTCCTTACTCGGAGAATGTGATGATATTTCGGCTTCTTTATTCCGAGCCGTCCAGGTATCGGTATTGTCTGTTGGGTATTGGTTTTTTGTCACCCTACAGCCTACAGGTTATCATGGATACTAGATAGCTAAATAGCTCCTATATATTATTATGTATAGGAATTATTATAATAAGCATTAACAACATAACGAACTAAAGACTTGAAGAATTTGATATTGAGATGTCATCACTCGAGCGAAATGTATTTTTAATTGTGATAATAGCATGGGTTTATAATGGTCAACCGTCGAATTACGTAAAAGAAAATAATTATTTACGAACAAAACGAATCGACAATCATATTACGTACGAGATAATAATGCAATGTAGTTGAGTTTGCGCAGCAGAAATTACTTGTGTACGGGGCGGCGGGGTGGTGTTGAATGAGCTCGAACTTATTTGACGAACTAATATAATTTTCGATAATGTTTTCAAATGGTTCAATACTTCAATGAATACGTTATAATGAGTAATAAATTATAAATATTAATAAAAACATATATTTTGTTCGTCCAGTCGAGAGAAAACACCAGATTTTTGAATAACCTTGTAAATGTTAAGCACATTGTTACCAGTGCCACAACTTCATAATAAGGGGCCCATGTGCGATATTTTTTTTGAGCCCCTTCCTAAATTAATTTTACTGAAAGTATTACAATCTATAAGTGCCAACGTTTTTAGGTTTTGTGTATACCTACGTATATATATATATTTTTTTTTGGTTCATACGTTTTATTCAATCTGTTTCAAAGGGAACAATAAGAATAAGTGATGGTATAGAATAAGCAAAAATTAATAAAAATAAAAAGGCAGACTAAACAGATTTCAGAGGCCTCCCAGTACTAAATACCTATAAATGTTGTGTACGTCGTCACTCGTCAACCGTCGTCGTTTTCCGCTATCAGCCTGTTGTTCTTCCGACAATTCGACAAGCAACGACTCATAGACTCGATAAAAATAATAGATATTATGGAAAAATTGATAGCACTTAAAAAGTTAGAAACGTTGACACTTGATTATTTGATAGGTACCTACCTTTTTCTAAGCCTACCATCCTATTTTAACATACTTATTACTTGATCTGATATCAGTATACCTACAACTACACTAATGTTTCAACTTAAAGAAAAAAAAAACTATTGTGAATAATTAAGTTTTGAGTCTTAAGACAATTTCAGTGTTTGCTTCAGGTTGGGCCCGGGGCTCCCCAAATGTATGTAAGCCTTGCGGCCCGTGTGCGCCGCACACTCTGCACACCCGGTTTTTGCGGCACTGCCGGCTGCATTATATAGGTACATTGAAAAAGCGGCGATTGATCCATCATCCGGTGGCGTGTCTTTGTTAAATATTTGCGGGCGGTCCCTCAGGGCGAATAACCGTCATTTGGACGGCGCACGGCGGGACCTGTTGCTCACCAACTCGAGTCAATTCAACACGCACATATTATGTGTAATGTTGTGATAACATATTATATAGGCAGGACCTAGGTAGGTACTTTTGTTTTATGGAAATCGTTGAAGATTAAGAATCATTTTATCTTCGTAAGTCGATTGAGCTTAAAGAGGCGTGTATAGGATATTAATTATACGGGTGAGTGTCTGTTGACGATGTGATACCACATTATTACCTACTGCTGTGGTGTTGGCGTTTGCTCACTTCTATATATATATTTTTTTTAGTGTATATTCTAAAATGTACGATGATACTTGGGTATCCCTATACGATATACACTATACGTTATATTATATTTATGAACTGTTCATAATATACGTGTAATATACGTATATCGTATATGAACCCGCCGTTAACTATCTTAATTTTCAGTGCCGAAAACAAAATATTTTATAATTATTTGTAATTTACAATTCTCAGATGGTAAGTGGGTATCTATTTTTAGTAAATATCAAGTGATTGTCATAAAATGACAAATGGTTAATTTGAGTACCAACGACTTTTTATCTACCTTATAACACGTATGGGTAATTAACCTTTATATTGAATTTTCTGAATTTCTTAAGTTTCCGAAAATAGAATGTGTCATTAATGTGTGGCTTCTTTCTTTCACATTTTTCGTTGGGATTTCAAGACTTTAACTTGACCAAGGAATGCAATAAATATCCATGAAAAAACGATCGCATCAAAGGTATTATAAGTACTTGTGTCTGATAAGTGATAGTTATAATAATAGCTGCAAGAAATAAAAAATTGTTTGACATAAGGATATAGGTTTTTCACCATTGTCACCGGTGGCGTATCACACAACCAACATTTTCGGTAGAGGAAAAGTATTAAATACCTCACTTTAAAACTATTAAGAAGTCCAAAGCAAAGCCAAATTAAATATGTATTATGCTAAGAAAAACTTCTCGAGACGGGCAAAATGTCACTGTTGTCCATTCAACAGGCACGTCACTGATTGTCACCTATTTATGTGGAAAATGCATGTACCCACAAATATTTTTAGTAATGCATCACTGTACATTTTTACCAACCATTAGAGTGTTGTTTAACAGCATTATAGATCACATCGAGTTGTCGTCGAGCAGGTGTGCATCGATAATATACGCGTGTAACGGCGAGGAACACGTGACCTCGTTTGTAAAAACCGCCAGAACACATAAAATCACAACCAACTAAACACACACAGTAATAGCACAATAAAATGTTACGCTGCACATTATAACTTATAATTGTTATATCATTGTTGTACACTGACGAGGGTCTTGTCATAACGATTAACGATCTCTAATTTTTATGGTATTTTGCTGATTTAAATATAACAATAAGGTGTTGAAACCATGCGGATAAATCTAGGAGGTACTTATTTGGCAAACACTAATATTGTTATTATGGTGCGAATTACTCGTGCAAGCAGTGTTGTACACGCACATAAATATATATAATAATATATAACACGGTATAAAAGCCATGCGGTTTCTCGTGACGTTTTGACTGCGCTCGAGCGGAAAACTCTCGTGCCGAATAAAATACGAACACTATTATTACTTAATATTATAATTTATAAATTTGCGCACTGATATTGTAATGCTGCATAGGAATACGGACTGTCAAAATAACGCCACTAATTCGTACTTAAATACCGTGTGTTTCAGGACTTGGATTTTACAGGACTCATCGCGGGGCCCGATTAGCCAGGAACCGCGTCCGTGATGTGCTCGAGCTTCGCGGCGGCGGCCGAGTCGCAGCAGCAGTAGGGTCCGACGGTAGAAAGGGGAGGGGCGCGAGCTCTACGGCGATAAGAGACGACCGCGGGGGGGCACTCGGCGGCGCGGCGATGACGCGGCCACGTCGGCGGTCAAAGGTCGAGGCGATAACGACAGCTGCGGTGCACCCGACAGCAGTGGCAGAACCGAACCGAAAGCCATCGCGGGACCTCGAACGCGATACGACTGTGTGACGACGTTGGGCGCGGGGCTCGAACACGAAACGGTTCACGTAGCCAAAGCTTAACGTGACCCATCGACGACGACGACGACGACAACAACAACAACAACAATAACAACGATAACAAAAACGACAGAAATTATAGTTGCAACATCTGTGAAAAAAAATTTAAGCATAAAACAATTGTATAAACACGGGCGGGTGGCGGGAGGGCGCGGCGTAGGGCACTCCGCCGCTGCCGGTTTGTCAGCGACGCGCAGCAGCAGATCCGATGCGTCCGGCGCCAACACCGCCGCCGTTCGTCAAAGCCGTCTGCAGCAGCTTTACCGCCGCGTCGTGTTCTCGTCACGCCAGCCGCAGCCGCAGCCGCCGACGCCGACGTACCCGTAACGACAACGAACTGCCGCCATGAAACTCCGTGACCGAGTGGTGGTCGGCTTCTGCCTGTCACTGGTTCTGGTCACCGTGCTGTTCGTGGTCGACCTGCAGAACGAGAACGCCCGCCGGCAGGCCGTGGCCGACGGCGACGCTACGTCACACTTCCACGGCCGGTCCGACCGGTCCCGGGACGCAATCGACGCTCAATCCGCCTGGAACGCGGCCGCGTCGTTCATCGTGTCCACGCTGATGCCGTCAAACCAGCCTCCAACCCGTCCCGGCGCGCCTCAACCTTATCCCCTCGCCGCGGACGGACGTCAAAAGCCCGCGGTTCCCGACCTGTACGCCACAGACAGGTTCGCCGATCTCACCGAGCGCCTGTCCCGATCCTCCGAATCGCAGCGGCACCGCGGCAACGTGCCCGACTGGACAGCGGTCCGGGACGTGATCGTCGACGACACGGACGACGACGGGACCACCAGCAACGAGTACATCGTCGAGTACTTGGAAGACGGTTTGAGGTAAGTCCTTGCACACGCCGTTCGCGAATGCTTCCATACAATATTTTATATGTCTTTACCTTCTACCCAGACACGAAAAGAGGAGTGAGGTTTTCGAGGATTCAATTCAACCCCTCCGAAATACTTGACAAAAAAATGTTTTCATATACGCATTCTTCACATAGACCTCCGTGATTTTATAAAAAATTATGTTCTACATTTATAAAATATAACGTGATAACTATAAATTAACTAAATTTGGTTTATTAAAGATAAAAATATTAAATTTTTTACTTTTGAACCTCCCCGGAATCGTTTTTTCTGAGAACTTGTCAGGTGCCTGCTACCTATACCTCAGTCAAACTGTAATATTTATTTATCTCGACACGTCCTCTAGACGTGCTCGTACGTCCGCACGGTACCGCACTACACTACACAATACAATACAATACTAAATAGGTAACTATGATAATATTGTAGTCAGTTTGCTGCGCGTCGATTGATTTTTTTTGTTTTAATCGTTTTACATTAAATTCATTCAGGTGGGCGGGCTGCAGTCATTGAAAATCATATTGAAATATTATATTGGTGTGCCTATATTACGTCATTACAGATGGTCCCCGCCAAATGTATTCTTCATAATAATATCGTTATAGGAGATATTTCAACTTTGAGATTGACCTCGTTGTCATATTATTACGAAATGCAAAAGAACGTATTGTGCATTCATGTACGGATTTTCTGAAAAAAATTGTTAATCCGCTATTTATTGTTGTATTCATTCGTCAGCAAACACATGTGTGGCCAAGACAGTTATAATGTTTAATGAAAAGGACCGTTTTCAAATAGACTAGTTGAAATAGTTACATTATCGAACACAAACACTGTGGCACACACTGTATAGTGTTAAATTGTTTTTTTTTAATCATCAATTTTCTAGTAAAATAAAAAAAAAGCGATAACGAGCACGCCGACGCTCCGTTTCGTGCTGTACGATTTATATTTTGTTTCTATTTAAGATTCTCATCGTTTATAGTTTATAGTTTTGTTTGACGATTCGTCATTATTGTTACATTATTAATATATTTTATTATTCGTCAATTTTATAAAATATGATTATTCTGAAAGAATCCGACTGACAATATGTGCTATCAGAGGTCAGGTCAAGAAAAGGTCAGATTAAACGCGTTGTTGTTGAGTATAAAATATTGATATGTATTATACCCCAATTATCTTAATGCCCGTGTGCGTACAGTTAACTATTTTCAACATGATTAATAATTATATCGGTTTATTCATGTGGAACAAATTTTTATTCTATAATATGTATTTTTGACAGCCGGTTTAACTCCGAAAAAGTTACCAAACACACACACAGTCCGTATCGGTTCTGGAGAAACGATCCACTTCCAAATGTGACTTATAGAAAACAGTAAATAATAATCATAATAATATATAACATTATTACGGCTATTTTGTGCTTAGTTCGTTTGTGTTAAACCATTAACCATATTTTATTACAACATAATATTACCAACATGTACCAATACACCATAGCTTTTTGATCGTTGTGAATCCAATAAATATTTGATTAACCTTATTAAATCGGCGGCGGAAGTTTGAAAACAGAATTTCTTTCATTTCCATTTTCCTCTCTGGTTAAAACTCAATTGCATTAAAATAGCCCTGCAGTAAACGCGTATTGATGAATTCAAAACACACGCTTTAAAAACTTAAAGTTTCTATTTATTTTTTCGTTATATTTTTCTATATTGTCAAATAATACGCGTTATGTATTTCATTCGAGTCAATAAACCGCATAGGCACAAAAACCGTCAAAATAATAAACAAATGTGTTACAACAAAAAATGTTAAATTTATTTATTTTTTAATAATATGTTAAATTAATTTTTTAATCAGCACACGCCATTATTTATATCGTAGAAGTAAAACCATTCATCAGAAGTACCTAATTTAAAATATAAATTATAGTTAAATGTCCGGCACGTGTAAAATAGAACTGTACAGTATTATAATATTCTGACAAGCTTATACAGGTGTATTTTTGTATTGCACTTAGTCACTACAAAATGAATATTACATATAGTTAGTATTATATCGATGGTATCGCGAGACATGCATTATAATTTATAAATAATAAATAATATTATGTGTGGGTATTCGAAAATTGAAAAACAAATTATAGTGAAAAATATTTCTTACAATTTCGTTTTGTTCACTAAACTATGAAGGCCTGATATTATAGGTACACGGTAGGTTTCGTGTGCCTTCAGAATTAAAATGCATCGATGTAATACAACGTAAATCTATATGTTTTATATTTTATTATTTATGTACAGTACACAAGTAAAATTCACTCATATCATCTCCAAAAGTACTATTATAATATAATTATTATATAGATCTTAAAAAGGCACATCATTATAATTGCTTATACAGGAATATCACTCGCTTACATACAACATTGGTGAAAATTTAGGAAGGTAGCTTATAATTAGCCCCCAAAAGTTATCCGAGATTTGCTTAAAATAATGTGCAAATTAATTATATCTTTTCATACTTTTTTGAATAGTAAATATAATACTAGTAGGTAGATTCATATCAATTAAATAAATACACTTGTAATGTTATCTGTTATGAATTGTATCATCGGTTTATCAAGTGATTTGAAACAAACTCTTAACACTTATGTATTTTAAACTGTTAGCCCCCAAAAGATGCATATCAAATTTCCACCGATGGGGTAGGTAACACAGTGCACTGCTTTTCACATCACAATCATATAATATTATTAAAAAAAACTTGTGGTAAAATATTTTAAATGTGTTTTAATATTCCGTGTAAACTCTTCTGAGCCGAAATCTATATAAGTAAGTTTTTTTTTGTGTATAAAATATATTTGTTTGTACGATGAATAAATATTTTTTAAATTAAGTGTAGACAATAAGCCAATTGACAAATTCCCATATAGTTAACAAACATTAAACAATGTTCAAGCTTTTTTTAAATATGTATTTTGTATTTTTTAATATAAAATTATTAATAAGTGTTTCAAAAATAATGCTTTTTTCTAAATGTATTTTAAAATATACAGAAAAAGTAGTTAAATATCTACTTAAAAAGTATGTAGTTACATAATTCCATTATTAATATTTGTTGGCATTCCTAGCACGTGATGCATGATTATAGAGCTGACATCCCGTGATTGTTAGCCCTCCTTGTTGGTTTGTGTATTTTCCTGAAATATTTGATTTTTACAAGATCCCAGTTTACATGCAAACGAAAAGTTATTGTGCTCGGATGTTTGACAATTTGTTAAATGAAATAACAACGAGTTACTACATAAAATCCGTCTATATTAACTCGCATATAGTAGGTACAAATATACAGTTATTTTATGTAAATACTCGTATGAAGTTACTACTTACTTTTCAATAATTGGTCAATCTGATCTTTTTCTGATTATAATGAATGAATAATATTATTAGTTCCCGCAATTTCTTTATAATTACACATTCGTGTTGTAGATCCACGTTTTACAAAACAACCTAAACATCCTAAACAAAGAATAAATAAATCTACGCTTGTGTTAAAACTTTTAAAAATAAATGCTTATCAACCTTTGGAACTAAAGTATTTGAAGGACGGTCACTGTGCGTGTATAACGCGACTGAATAAACTTTTCAATTATTAATTTAAAAACTGTTGATTTTGAGAAACTTTTTAGTTGAAATAATAATTTGTATTTTGTACGCATTATTTGAGTTTTTCGGTATAAAACACTTACCAATACTTATTACATAGTGTATTAACATAAATTAGCTGAAATCGAAATCGTGACTAAAATATGTCATCGATATTACAATTTAATATTTATTTTCCGATATTCGATGATAAATAATTCTATTGGAATGGTTTTTTTTCAAAATTGTCTCAGTCTCATAACGTTTAAATGTCTATAGCATGGAATTCAGGTTTATTTCAAATATTTTTTGATTAATAAGTAAGTACAGATATTCATTTAAATGAATATTCATTGGTGTAGGTACCGTTATGTTAAAAAGTATGCGTGAACAAGTGGATGAAGACAATATTACCTTTTATTTGATTATCCTAAAATAGTTATAAATGCACCAAATATTCCCATTATTAATGGCACACAGTCCTTGCAGAAAATCAACAATATTACTGGTCTTGATTTAATAATACACGACAGATAGGTATTAAAAAATGTCTTTGTGTATGTTTTATAAATTTTAAATAAATAGATTTTGATTTAATTTGACTAGATGGTTATATTATATATATATTATATCGTTGGCTTTAGACGTTTGAAATACGGTCATTGACAGTATAGTATATACACTTTAATTCGTGGCAGAAATTTTAAAATTTGATCAATCATGTAATATATATATATATCATGCACCTATATTTATTAATACTTAACCAAATACGTTATAATTTATATTTTATAATATATATTCTGAATAAAGAAACCTCCTATTCTCCAACAGCAGGAAAATTTTTTATTTAAAACTATATCATAATAAAATGACGCAACCTTGGAACACGTGAAATAATTAAGTCTCGTATATCTTACACAGTTACATACTACATATATTATTACCTAGTGTTACGGAGTAGAGTTTGTATGTGCCGATTTCCCTGATTAACTGCTGTATCTTATAATGTTATAAGTACTTACGAGCGTATTGTATGAGAATGACTCTGTGCAGCCGCAAACGAATAATAGAAAAACGTACGTCATATTCCATGGTAATCGTTCTCATCTTGAGTAGGAATTTATAACATCTTTTAATTGCACAATTCAATATTTGCATAATATAAGATTAGCTACTGTTATGTTCAATCATAATAAATTAGAATTCTGAATTGAAATACGCATTATTATAGTATGGGTCTAAAACACTATGGCTTAGTATTCCAATTTTTTTTTCAAAACTATATAAATAACTCATACACATAAATAAGATTTA